AAAAATGGCTACTTATATTTTATTTCAAAATCAAAAAGTGGACTGGGCGGTAGGTTGCAACTTGTTTGGTTAGATACTTAGATATTGAAATCTTGAATTTCATTAATAGTCATTCCTTTATTTTCGGTCTCTACAGAAGTGTCGTGGCATATCAACATCCAACCAATGCAAAAAGNTCAAAAGAGGTTAGCTGGTTATGCTTCTCATAATATATATTTTGATCTGTAACATTTTTATAAAGATTTACCATTTCTCTAATGCCTTATTTTTCATCGCACTCTTATCAACACAACTAAAAATTATATATCAAGCATTACAAAAATATTTTTCAACAAAATTCATAGTTCATTCATTTATATATTTTTATTTATCAATCATATACGATAATTATTTACTATATTTATTTATATCATATGAACTTTATTCGTACATTTTATCTCTTGATTATTCACAAACTCAAACATAATTAATTCTTCCACTTTTACAATTAAATTAAATTCCTTAAAAAAATAATTTTATATCCAATATTATTCAACTATGTGTCATTCATTTTCAATATTTGTATTTATAAATTGTGCACTTCAGTGACGGACCCAGGAATTTACTTAAGGGGCCCAGTTTTAAATGTTAAATAACTAGCTTGTAATTTAAGTCGAAATGTTCATTTTCTATAAAAATATAATTACTAGTAAATATAAATATCGATATGTGTAACATCAAGTTTTTTAAATATTATAATTCGTATCACCCTCAAACTTCTACAGAAATAAACAAAAAAAGAAAAAACGATCGAGATTATATATTTAAGTTTAACATCTATAATTTATGAAAAAATATAGTTTTCTAGTTGAAAATTTGATTTAAATTAAACATTTGCAGCACATTGCATATCATTTTGTTGATGAGAGCTTATCAAATGAGCATTTCTTTAAGAAAAAAACAAATAAAGTGAAAAATATGTGATTGTCACGAAAAAAGAAGTAAGAAAATCAACATTAAAAAAAGTAACAGTAACTAGTCGATTTTATAAGTTTACTACATAAATTTACAATCAAGAGATCGAAAGAGTAAATCATTGTAAATATTTTCAAAAATTTATTTAGAAATATAAAATATACGTATTGTTAGTACATTTTTCAATAAATAAATAAGATTATGAATTTAAATTAAAATAGAATAGAGAAAAGTCTTTAATTATAAATATATTGTAAATATTTTTTGATTTTCTATATATATTTTATTTATAGTATACACATATATATATAAATATATATATTGATTTTTTTAAAGAAATGAGGGGGGCCCATGGCCTCCCTGGGCCTACTTTGGCTTCGTCGTTGATGCACTTGTAGGTGTCGTGCAAATAATATCTAGTTATACAGAAGTGGCCTATTATATAGACAGGTTTACCCGTTATAAATTTTTTTCAAAAAAAGTACATTTATACTGTGAAAAAGTGACAATAAGGTATCATATTTTGATATAAAATAGTTGATTTTTTTTGGAAATAGCATATGATGTTTGCTTAACAAAAATTTACCACCGTGCTAATATGTTGGTTCTTTATTATGTCATAATTATTCAGTTATACACATTAAAATTGAGATGAAGAGGTAAGCAATCAATATATATAGTTTCCACTAACAAGACCAAGAAAAACGAAAAAAAAAAATGATGTGCGTGACCTTGTTATATCTAAAGGAAGAGAGCACCAATCAATTATATGTCGCTAAAAGAAATGGATTGTGACCTTGTTATCCTAAGATACATCACCCTTGCATAGCCTAATTATGATCTCATGAAAAGATAGACCGCACTTAGCAACAAAGTCAAAAGTGATTATAGACGAAAAAAAGAAAGAAAAACGATGTGCGTGTGCGCGCGTGAATTCATGAAAATGCTTCGATAGCCCGAGCCTGTTTTGATCTAACACAAATTGTACGAGGTGGATTAATGCACGTACCAACAATATTATGATTGTATTATAAATTAAATATATAAAAAACATTAATCATGATTTACTTATTATTTTTAAATTAAATCGGGTTGGACACAGTCCGACCAGATAGACCGAGAACCGATTTATAACCAGTCTAGTTCGCTTCAATAAAATATTTGCTATCGAATCCTTCAACACCGATCGGTTGGACTGGTAGGATCGATACGATTTTCTAAATAGATTTTGCTATACTTAAAATTATTTTAAATAAAATTACGTATTTAAATAAAATAGAGATTTATAAACTTTTTATCAATTAGTTTAAATATTTAAATTTATAAATTGTTTAGATATTTAAGTAATTATAAAATATTAGAATATTTATAAATTAAAATCTAAACAAACCACAAATGATATAATAAAATAACTTTGATTGTTTTGATAAGGGTCCGATTCTAAAAACCTTATATTTACTGTATATTAATAAAATTATAATAACATATTATTTTATTTACATAAATATTAATAAAATAATATATAAGTATCTATAAATTATTAAACATGTTGTCATAAAAGGATTGCATGATTTTCCAATTATGATCTCTGATTATTTGTCCCAAAGAACAATAGTGGCATTTGCAATAGAGATGAGCAAATTCATCTTGTATCTATTAAAAAAAATAGCATGAAGAATTCATCAATTATGACAAAAATAATGAAGTAAATCAAATTCTTCTTTAGAAAGACTCCTTATAAAAAAGGATATTCTATCTATTTCCAAGATAATAGTAAGCAGTTATTTGAAATTTGAAATCAAAATTTGGAGATATCTGATTTTTTAGAATACTTCAAAAGAGTCCGAAATATGTAAAATTATGAAGTTGATTTGATATTGAATTCAAGATCTGTCGGAATTTGAAAAAAAATCCTTAATTTTAGGTTGTTCAATTATATAAATATATGTGATTTGATTTTTTCCAATTCAAATTGTAGATGAGCCACATTTTACATCTATTATATGCGATTATTTATTATTCGATTTTATGGCAATCGAGTGGCAAGGAATTTAGAATTTTAAATTATCAATTAAATATTGCATTCGATTTTCTTTGCAATTAGTTTTTTTGAATAAAAAAGGAGAAGACATAAAGTTTATGCCTGATTTTATAATATGACCCATTTTTAATATTTAATTATATAAAGTAAGATATGATATATAATCTAAAGTAGATTATGTTTTGATCTAAAAACTCATATATTATGCGTGCCTGTAAATTAGATACACAATAACCGATTTTTTGGGAAGTGAATTAAAACATGAAATAAAAAATAGCTAAAAAATAACCGATTTAAGGCCAACTGATTTTTTGGGAAGTGAATTAAAACATAAAATAAAAAATAGCTGAAAATAATATGTAATTAATATGTGTTGACTTTTTCTTCTTACTATTTATGGTAAATAGTAAATCTTTATATATATATATATATATATATTTAATAAAAACTATATACTTATATTATAACTTTATAATTCGCGTGAATTTTATAAAATATCTAAATTTAATTTACGACTGTTAATATCTCAATATACCATTAAGAGCCTTCTATGAACACAATGTATACATTCAAAGAATAAAGAAAGAATAAAAAGGGCCTAATTGAACGTTTGAAAATCCAACTTAGAAGAATAAAAAGGTCTTATGAGCCCAATAGACAAACACAATTATGGTTTCCATTCTCCATTTCTAAGCCCAAGGAAGCAGAATTTTCTATCTAAGTGGCCTCCACACGCGAGTTTTTAATCGCCCCTATATATAATTCTCGAATGCGCGAAGGCCAGACTCGTTTGCTTCATAAACATATTTGGCATAAATTGGTGCTCGTATTGACACATGTTCAGGTGTGGTTTGACTATTAAGCTTGAGAATTACCATATACTATTTTAATTTTCTTTTTTTTTTCCTTAAGTTACTATATACTACTTTTATCTTATTTATTTAATTCATATATTAATTATTATAAACATGTATTCTTTTTATATTTAGAACTTTATAAATTTTTTATTTGTGTTTTATTTTTTTATATATGATCTACCAAAAGAATCATATTTTGGGCGTGCAAACCGAGCTATTAATGAAAAAGCTCTGAGGGGTAGTGGAATGCTCCCCGAAGAGATTTTAAAGTTAATAGCTCGGTTTGCGCTCACAAAATATAACTTGGACTTACAAGACTCAAACTACCTTCTAGTCTAGCCAACACTATACTCGAACCTATTAACTAATCCTATGGCCCAACCTTCTGGGCTTCAAACTAGCTAAGAATCCCTCCCAGCTATCCTAGTACTTAATCCCTAAGTATGATAAGTGTTTGTAGAATAATTGAAAAAAAAAAAAAAAAACACAATTTCAAATGTTGTTAGAACTAGAGATATTCATTTATATGTTGATATGAGGGCTCCTAATCTTATGGATCCTGTTGTTGGCCCTAATGAGCTAATGAGCCTAGTCAGTCTAATGACCCTAAATATACTCATGCTTCTGTTCCAAATGATCCAAAGGAGAACACATTGTGCTCCATTTGGGTACCAATTGAAGAAGGCATGGGTAATGTTCTAGGTAGGATGAGGGATGAGAATAACTCGACGCTCCCCGAAGATATTTTAAAGTTAATTGTTTTCATTTTTATTTTCTGATGTTCGAACACTATTGTGTACTCTAGTTTATTCTCAATATCCGTTTCAATATAAAAGAGAAAATGTAATTTAAAAATAAATCATGTATCACGTGCATCGTAACTAGTACTTTTAAATGGTCGTATACATCCAAACTTATGTTCAAATACTAGTGACTTAGTAAATTCCCTTTTTGCACTATAGAGTATAAATTGGGCCACCTTAATAAAAAGATTGTCATCCAGTAAGTCAATCTACCACAAACACTAGTATCACGCCATGTGCCAAAAATTACAGTTTCTAAGGGACATCAGACACTTGATTTGAAGATGATATATAGATAATGACTATCAAATGAACAATCTAAACCAAAAAGTAAATAACATAACATAACATAAAGAGGCATGCAAGTAAATAAGAATAAACCAGCAGTACTTACACAAACACCAACATCTTGAAGTAAATAAAACTTCATACATGTATAACTAATCAATAAAGCAATTAGAACAAACTAAAACTAATTAACAATGTATCTCTTAGGCACAAGTAGAAGTGGATTTTTCTTATGCACCGCGAGACCCAACAAAGGTTCGGTATCGACATCTTCGGGTTGAATCCCTTGAGGCAATTCCCAATCAAAAGAATGAAGCATATTTGCAAGTGTAAGCTCCACGTTTGCAAGTCCCATAAAAATCCCAGGACAACTCCTTCGGCCAGATCCAAACGGGACTACTCCAAAATCCTGTCCTTTTATGTCGATATTGCTGTTTAAGAATCTCTCAGGCAAGAACCCGTCTGGATTTTCCCAACGCTCGGGATCTCTAGCAACTGCCCACGCATTAACATAAACGATGGATTTAGGTTGAATTTCGTAGCCTTCTAGGGTGCATTTTTCTATTGTTTCTCTTGGGAGGAGCAGTGGGGCCGGAGGATACAATCTGAAAGACTCATTTATGACTGCTTTTAGATAAAAAAGTTTAGGCAGATCGTCTTCATCCACCATTGCTTTTTTGCCGATCGAGTTTCGGATCTCTGTTTGCACTCTGCGCATCAGTTGGGGTTCCTTTATTAGAGCCGTCATCGTCCAAATGATTGATGCCGAACTTGTAGAAGTTGCTGCTACAAATATGTCCTACAAAATTTTAGAAGGATTTGCATTCACTAAGGCAAAATATAATATGGAACCCTCATGTTCTTCAGGATATTTCTCGTCAAGGTTATGTATAACCCTATTGTGAATGTATAAACTATGAATTATTTCACCCATTTTCATCTAAACTAGTACGTAGCCCGTGCAAGACACGAGAGAATAGTTATAGTTGAATGTATTAAAACAATGAAGCAATGTTGATTAGTATAAAATAGTTTTGAATATTAAAAATTATTTTTTATTTTATTTTATGTTATATAATAATTTAATATAAGATTTATATGTTTATTTCACTCGTTATAAAATAGTTCTCATTTTAGATCATGATTATAACTAACGATAATGAATATTTAATATATTCAAAAATCATCAATAAATAATACTCACATAATACTTTTTTTTTCCTCATACCTTGTTACAATATATTATTTTTGATTTCTACATAAGTTAGGCTAGAGTTGAAAAATTGTGACAAATACTATAATCAACACTTAATTGAAAAATAATTTAATATATATTATTTGAAGTAAAAAAAAAAATTATTAATTTTTAATTACATCAATGATTTCATGTGGATAACAATGTTAGGGGGATACATTTAAAAGCTTGCCCCTATTTCATAGATTGGATGAAAATACTTGGCATAGATTAGTCCCACGGTTAAATTGTTGAAACTTTTGCTGAGGTGGTGCAAGATGTATTGAATGGGGAAGGTGGACTTGGTGACTTGCAAATAAGGGAGTCAATGCTTGTACACAGAGGTAGAAGTGAGTCGACCATGGAACCACCGAATATGAAAAAAAGAGTTGACATTTCATCCCCGACTCCTGGTCAATCTTCAAGTGGGAAAGGTTAAGCGCAGAAAAGGGTCGATGAAGATATTGATGTGCAGTTTATGGAGATGATAAGCAACTTCATGAAAAAGACCAAGCGACACCTACGTAACCTCGCTAGTCATATAGGATTTGAGCAGGATGCCAAAGCACGCAAGGCTTTTGATGAGGTATTGGAGAAGATGAGTTTCCTGACGGTGCAAGACAAGATTGTGGTTGGTGCACGACTCTGCTGAGTGACTAAGGGGGCGATTGGATATAAATTGAATAGTGTTGATATCTGGGTCGGGCTCATGTGAAGGTAACGACCTGGAAGACTGGGAACCGGGCGAAGCCGGCCCGACCGATGGGGCCGATTACCAAGTTAATTCGTAGGTGCCGATCTGCATAGGTCAAAGTCAACAGGAGCGGCGGACGGCGTCGTTCCCGAGGTCGGCACCTTAGTTCCCCCATTATGGAGCTGACCTGGTTAAGTGCCGTGCAAAGATGGGATCTGGAAGACCGGAGGATGGACAGGGTACCAGAGCCCGACCCGGGATCCTACCAGGTCAGCCTCCATAGGAGTTAAGGATCCAGGAAACAGTAAAATGAGGCCACTTGTCAATCAATGATTACCGATGGGACATCACAGACTAGCCTGCAGGTCTAGAATGTCTAGCCTGGCCAGGGAGCACGTTCGCATTTAATGTAGCCCATACCAGCATTAAATGCCCTGCAGGTAATGATTGAAAGACCCACGAATTACTCCCAATCAGTCAGAGAAACGTCGGTCTGTCGTGCCGAGTTACTGTACGACAAGACCTATGAACAGTATCTGAATAGTGTCGCATTTAAGGACCCTAAAAATAGAAGCTTTGAGCATTTATTTTGGGTTGTTGAATCATCAACTGTCTGACTCTCTCTACTTTCTCTCTCTAAGCTTGTAAGCAACCCGTGTAAGAATTTGTAAGGATATCGCAAGTGCCGACCTCGTGATCGATTAATAAAATCGTCATTAAACCGTATTTTTCTGTTTTTCCCCTATTTCACATTCCTTTTCCTATTTCTTTAACCGTTGATTGAAAACGTCCATCAACAAATAGTGAAAAAACCAATCAAAATTCAAATTTAGCTCAACTTAAACTCAACCCCATTATCCTCAATATTATCAATATAATTAAATAATATCAACCAATTATTCTTACACATCACATCAACTTTTATTCACTATTCATCCACTCACATAATTCTAACTAACCATCACTTCAAATCATATTTCTCCTATTTTACATCAAATCAACTTTAATTATTTTATTTAAATATTATTTTAATATATCAACTAACAACTAACTATACCACTTTTTTTTAAAATTAATTGTAGTTAAAAAACAAATTAAATAAAAATTAGTTGAACCCATAAACAATCACCCTTAAAGACTTAGACTATTTATTCATCTTAAAAGAGGCCGACAAAGTTGTGATAGTGCAAATGATTCTAGAAGAAAAACTTTAAGAGACCGAAATGTAATAACATATTATTTTCAAATATTATGGAATTGGTTATGCATTTCACATGCTAGATTGGATTAAATTGTAAGGATTCTGTTCTTGTCGGCAGGTTTTGATAGAACTTTATGTTGAACATAATGTAGTAGCTAGCTAAATAGCACATATTTTGAATGTTTTTGTACTCTGTTTTTATTTATTTATTTTTTATGTTTGCCCAAAAAAAAAATTAGCAGTTCACTTTTTGAAAGCCCGGCCATTGATATATTCTTATAATTGCTACTAATTTTTCAAATTACCTATTTTAAGTTATAAAATTTCTTGTTAGACACCATACATAATAATTGAGTAGCCTCATTGTAATATCTTTAGTGGCAATAACAAAGCTAAGTCATTTTCATATTTAATTGCGCCATTTCTATAAACCGTGACAACAATTGAATTGATGTTATTAGGATCATATATCGATAGGGAAAAATCAACTAAGGCAATCTTGTAATTGTTCCATCTATCTTATTATATATTTTCATCAATACCAAACAAAGAAATTAATCAATGATTTTATCTAAAGTCAATCTAGGACCACAAACAAGCAAGCTATAATAATGACGCCACCCATAAGACCATTACACAACCCCAACTACTACCGTTAAATGCATACACAATTCAACTATCACCATTAAATGCAGACACCAAACTTAGAGATTAATATGACAATGAAATAAAATTAAAATAAAAGAAAAAATGCGTACCATTAACAGCGCCTTGATGTTATCCCAGCTAAGATCAACAGAAGTTGACTTGTTTTGCTTAAGCTTGATCAATGTATCAAGAATATCACCCGCCATTGTTTCGGGCTTGTTCGGGTCCAAATGCTCGTCAATAAGCTCCTGGTAGAACGAATCCATGTCCTCAAAGGTCTTTTCAAGCCGCCCGACTGACCCACACAACCAGTCAACCCACCCGAATCTCGGAAAATAATCGGACACGAAAAAACCGGCCAACAATCCCTGAATCCTTTTCATAAGTTCATCGAACCTCCTCATATCATTCCCATCTCCACCATATCTTTTCCCGAAAGCGATCCTACACGTCAAAGTAGCCCCGAGCGCCATAACCATCTCACTCATGTTGAGAACCTCATTACGGGCCGCAAAGCCCGATATTTCAATAACCGCGCGTGAAATCTCGTCTTCCCTTACGGGCCGGAAAGAGAGCGCTTTGTTGATGTTAAAGAGATGGACGGTCGTGATTTTCCGGACCTCGCGCCAATAGTTGTTGTAAGGGGAAAAGGCGATGTCCGAGCAGTTGTAAGAGAGCCTTTGTCGGCCGAGGGAGTTGGGCCGGCTGCAGAAGGCTTGGTCTTGGGCCTTCATGACTTTCTCCGCGAGCTTTGCGGAGGAAACTACGATGAGGGGTTTTGGGCCCAGATTCATGCGCAGGATGGGCCCGTATATTTTGGAGAGGCGCCATAGGTAGATGTGCGGGGTTCTTGCGGCGGCTAATTGGTGCATGTTGCCGATTAGAGGGAGGCCAGGCGGGCCGGGTGGGACGGGGTTATTTGTGGGCTTCCTGTTTGCGTGGAGAAGGTATAATAAGAGTGGTGGGATTAGTAGAGTTGAGAGGAAAATAATAAG